GTCAGTAGCCCCAGTGCCAGTCCTGTATATCACAGACCACAGTCCAATTTAAGTACTTTCTTTTTAAAAGGAGAGCTCTGAGATTATAGAATCTGAGCTTATGGCAGAACCCCCATAGGAGATCATGAAAACAGGCATGGAGATAAACCAACATTATGCTAGTTCCACGAAATTCTTGAGGCTTCTTGTATAAAATAAAGTCTTTTTTTTTTTTTTTCTGAGACAAGGTTTCACTCTGTCACCCAAGCTGGAGTGCAGTGGCATGATTTCAGCTCACTGCAACCTGCACTTCCTGGGCTCAGGCAATCCTCCCACCTCAGCCTCCCAAGTAGCTGACACTACAAGTGTGTGCCACCACACCTGGTTAAGTTTTGTATTTTTTGTAGAGATGATGTTTCACCATGTTAACCAGGCTGGTCTCAAACTCCTGAGCTCAAGTGATCAGCCTGCCTCAGCCTCCCAAATTGCTGGGATTATAGGTGTGAGACACCACGCCTGGCCATAAAATCAATGTTAAGATCAAACAAACCTGCTAAGTATATAAGATGGTCCTAGGGCAGGGGTAGGGGAAATGACTAGTATCTTCTTGCTGTGACAACAGGAACATGGAAATGAAAATCCCACTAACATACCTTCATATAGTACTTTATAGTTTGCAAAGTCCTTCCCTATATATTATATCATCTGACCTTCAAGACAACCCCGTGAGACAGACTGAGGATCAGCCAACATTTCCTGAGCTTTGACAATGCCTCCAGGATCCCAGGACAATGCCCTTTTCACAGTCCAAAACACACTGTGCAGGCCTGACCTTATGCTGCTTTTCCATGAAGGCTTTCAGCATCCAAGATGGGAACCAGAGTTCCAAATGTTCCACCAGCCAACCTGTCATTTTATGGCTGGGCATAATCTAACGTGGCTTCCAGGAGTGAGGCCAACCTAGGGACATGCTCGCAGTGCCAGGCCCAGGTTGCTGTCACAGCTGTGGCAGGCACATGGCGGGGGTGGTGGGGGGTGGTGGGGCGGCGGGCTCCATTTCCTTCTTTCTTATCACAAACAGAGAGGCAGTCATCACGTCCTCTGCATGTGACAAGGGAGCTGTGTTTTAAAGGCAGCAGCAACGTGCAAGCTCAAGCTGAGCCCCAGTCTAGGAGCCAAACTGAAAAAACAATGCACCCACAGAGACACAGAGAACAGATCTGGGGTTCCTAAAATATATCCCACCCATAGATTTCAACATTAAAATTTCAGCATTAAAAGTCTATTTCTCATGGATAAAGCAGCTCTTCCAGCATCTTTTAAAATATGCAAACACACCTAAGAGGAGTAGAGTACTATGACATCAATCTCTATCACTTTAGTGTGAATTAGCCTATGAATTCACTGTCTTCCTTATCAGCAACTCTTTCTGGACAGGGACCACTGGGCTTCTTGCTGCAGTAAGAGACAACTGTCAGCAGACAGAAAGGACTAGCTTAAAGCAAAGATGGAATTACCAAAGATAAACTCAATTCATCTCACAATTTCACCCAGGGTCAGCTCTGAAAGAAACAATTGCAATGACCTAGTAAGAACTCAGACCCAGTATGACTTACCATTTCATTCTTCTTATCACTGAAACTAATAAATAAATACAATGAGAACAACCAGATGTATTTGGTAAGCATTTAGTCCTAGAGAGCTGGCACGGCTCTAAAAAAAGTCATGTAATGATTATGGCACAATCCGACCTGGTCTAACATGCATCTCCTTACTTCACTGGCCCCTTGTAACTTAATGCAGAGAGGTGATTCAGCTCATTCAGAATCTTACCCACTCCTCCTCCTGGCCTCTTTCTCACTGTTGTGTTTCTTTCTACTATAGTTGATCCATGTTCTATGTGCATGATGAGAATGTTTTATCAACAATGTTCCATAATACATTCATTTTATTTGACTAGGCTAGGAACAAACTCATTTTTCTCTGTACATAAAAGATACCAAGCAAAGCAAAAAGACCTTAGAGCAGGCAGAACACCCCCCAAACTGTAACCTGGACAGTTTTTTTTTTTATGACAAATATTTCAGGTTTCTGCTAAATCCAGGTTTGTGCAAAAAAACAAGATTTAATAATGGAGACAATATATTGAAAAACTTTAACATTAAAACAATTCACCCACATGAATGGGAATGGTTGGCTGAAAGGAACGGAGAAAACTATTTATCAAAGAAAGTGTAACCCAATTTTGCAAAATGCCTATACCAAACATACAAACCATTAAGCCACATGCTTAAAAATCTTCATGAGGTTTGAGTAATAGCGAAGTAGCTTGATATGGACCAACCCTCCAAACAAACTATTAAAATACCTGGAAAATATATTTTAAAACAACTAGTTGATATGAGAGAACAACCAAAAACATGCACAAACAAGAGAGAATTTGAACGTGAAAGAGGGAAACTGCATTAGGTGAGACCCACATTTGTAGGGCTTTTCTCCAGATTATTCCCCAGGGTGTGCAGGGTTGGGTAAATAGAACTCAATATGGAACTACAGTTTTATTGGCTTGAAAACAGAATAGACAAAATTCAAGACTACCAGATGACTGGATATTGAGGAAAGAAAGCCTGGAAAGATGGGGCCACAGAAAGAAAAACCTCCACATACGTAAACTCTTCAAGTCCTCACATGTTCCTAAACTGTGCATGTGCAAGGGAAACTCTAAGAGGTCCAGATAGGAGCAAGAGCCAGAATGCTGAAAGATAGGAACTGAGATTTCAGCTGTTTCCCACCCATAGGAGAAAGAGAAGTTTGAGTGCCATAAAATTAAAGGGCTTAAAACACCTTGGGATTTCTACCAAAACCTCATACTGGCTATGCCTTATGAGCAAAGACTATGTCCAAGGACGATAACTGACTAATGTGACTATAGATGAGTTTAAAGATACTCAGGATTATCAAGTGTCAATTCCCCTTTAACTGATCTATAGGTCCAACACTACTTCAATTCAAAATACAGCAGGATTTTGTCTGGAAATATATAAGCTGATTCTAAAACTGACATCAAAATGCAAAATACCAAGAATAGCTAAAATAACCTTAAACATACAAAAAAGAACAAAGTTAGAGGGTTCATACTATGTAACCACAAGACTCACTATAAGGCAACAGTAATGAGAAACAGCGTAATACTGGCATAATGATGGACAAATAGATCAACAGAACAGAACAGATAATCCAGAAACAGACCCACATTATATGGTCAACTGATTTTCAACAAAGGTTCCAGGGTGATTCAAGTAGTCGGGGGAGACTTTCCAATAAATGGTGCTAGAACAACTGCATTAGTGTATTGAAAATAAAATGTTTCAACTCCTCTGTCACATCACACACAAATATTAAGAAGGCACACAGACCTAAACAGAAAACCTAAAACTATTTGCTTCTTAAAAAAAAAAAAAAAGAACCGGAGAATATCTTTGTGACCCTATGGCAGAGAGATCTCTTAGGACATATAACATATTAACTACAAAAGATGAGATTAATAAATTGAACTTCCTAGAAATTTAAAACTTTTGCTCAAAGACACCATTAAGAAAATGAAAAGGCAAGCCACAGACTGGGAATAAGTAATCACAACACATATTTCTCACAAAGGGCTCATATCCAGAAAACAAGAACTCCTCTAAATCGATAATAAAAAGACAAATCCAATTTTATAAAATAGGACAAAAGACTGGAACTGAAAATCATCAAAAAAACAAACAAATGGCCAATAAGCACATGAGAAAGTGCTCAACATCAGGGAAATGCAAATTTAACCCACAGGATATAATTTCATACCCACTAGAATGTCTACGATGAAAAGCAACAGCCATAGAAAGTATTAATGAGGAAATGTAGTAACTGAAACTCTCATACATTGCTGGTGGGAGTGTAATAAAACCACTTTGGAAACCATGTGGAAATTTCTTCTGAAGTTACACATACACCTACTTTATTATCCAGCAATTCGACTCCTATATAACCACCCAAGAGAAATGAAAGTGTTATGTCCAGGAAAATTTATGTGTAAGAAGGTTAATAAAGGTATTATTCATAATAGACAACAATAGGAAAAACCCCAGAAGTCCACTAAGAGGAGAATGGGTAAACAAATGGGTGCTACATTTATATAACGGGATATTACTCAGAAATAAAATGAAAAAAATACTGATGTACACAATGATATGAATCTTCTAGAAAGTATGCTGAGTGAAAGAAACCAGACATAAAAGAGAACATACTGTATAATTCCATGTATATGAACTTCTAGAGTAGGTAAAACTAACCTGTGGTGAAATAAAGCACTTTACATATTGCCTTTGGAGCCGGGAATTGAAAAAGGGTACAGGGAAATGTTCACAATAATGGAAATGTCCTGTATCTTGGATTGGGGTGCTGATTATGCAGTTGTATGCCTTTGTCAAAATTCAAATTGTTCACTTCTGATCTATCAGTTCACCCCCATATAAATTTTACCTCAATTAAAAAAAAAAAATGGATGGGGGAGTAGGGAGTATGGTAGCCACAGATGAGGAACAGAATCCCCTACAGGTCACAAATGAGATAGAGATTAAAAAGAAGATAACTGGATCCCTAAATTTCTTTCATAGACATTCACGGGCAAACTAAAAGGTTGGCACAAAACCAAAGATGTAAAGTAGAGTTCCACAGTCATGAACCAAAAAGACGCAAAAACCATGCAGCTACAATGACACTGAATAAAAACAAAAACTCAGTGAGTGTGTTAAATGAAATGTGAGATTGCCAGATTTAGCAAATATATTTAATTTGGCAACCTGAACCAACAGATCACTGGGCAACAAAATACTAGCCAGCCCAACTTAAGAAAGTGATTTTTTTAAGCATCTCTTACAACATGCTCTTTTTTATAATTTCCATGATAGAAATTCCTACTGAGTATAAACCAGGATTACGTATTACATATATTCTGGAAACTACCCAAAACTCATTCTTACCTTCAGTGAAACTCCCTGTAAGGGTTATTACCACGAATACTTTGCCTTCTGGCTCGAGATCCACCTAGAAAGAGAGAAAAAAAATTATATTTTAGTATTAAAATATTTTTTGTGGGCCTTAAACAATTAATCAAAGAGAGACCTAATGTGTAAATCACAGCTACAAATCAAATAAATCTAAGTCTTTCATTAAACAGTAGTGGGGCAGGGAAACAAGTGAAAGCTCAAAAAACTGTAAAGATTGAAAAGCAAATCTAAAAGAAACCACATTTTTTCAGAGTTTCCTTCCTCTTAAATTTTATTCTCTCCCATTTTTGGCTTGTCATAATATAGAGCGGTACATCCATATACTTGGTAATTGTTTTTGAGACCTCCATGTCTTATGCATATTGCTTATAAGAGCAGCTAAACCACATGGCAAGAATATGAAATAGAGAAATAATGGTAACATAAAAGGTAATGAACACATGTGGCTTGGTCAACTGCAAATCTTTAGTTTTACGGAATAAAATGTGTAAAGAGTCTCTGCTACATTTTTCCACCAAAGTCTAGTGAATCTTAAGGAAGCACTGGGGAAGGAAGTTTAGGAGCCTTGCACTCACTACTTTTTTCTTTTTTTTTTGAGAGAGGTAGTTTCACTTTGTTGCCCAGGTTGGAGTGCAGCAGCATGATCTCAGCTCACCGTAACCTCCGCCTCCTGGGTTCAAGAAATTCTCCTGCCTCAGCCTCCTGAGTAGCTGGGATTACAGGTGTGTGCCACCACACCTCATCAGTTTTTGTATTTTTTAGTACAGATGGGGTTTTACCATGTTGGCCAGGCTGGTCTCGAACTCCTGACTTCAAATGATCCTCCTGCCTCAGCCTCCCAAAGTGCTGGGATTACAGGCGTGAGACACTGCGTCAGGGCTGCTACTCTTGACTAGTCACGGGGGTATCAACATACCTTGAAGTTACCTATCAGCTGAAATATCAAGACATGCATTCTGCAAGCAATGCAGCTTGAAGTCTTTTCATGTGGTCTCGTCCTCTGCATATAGTCCAGTTTCCTGAAGACCCCATGCAGCATGGTGCCCAGGATGAACAGCACCCTCTGGCTCTGTTCTGATCACCACTAGCTGAGGTGGATGGACTCCCCTCTTCCTACCAGATGCTAACTTCACTATCCATGAACACCTCTAGGCCTTGCATTGTGAGGCTCTTGTGGACTCAAATACATGAATTTACAATTGTCCTTAAATAAATCTTTCCAGATTCTGCCCATGGCTCCATTTTTATTTTATTTTTCTCTTTTTTTAGCTGTGGTTCCATTTCTGCCTTTGACCTTCCATCTGAAGAGAAGCCTGACATATAGAGAAGCTTGAGTAGAGATACGAGTGATCATTTTTGGTCGAATATTAAATTTAAATAAGCTGCAAATAAGTCACCTGGTACAGTGGAAAGCGCCCCCTACTAGACCAGGCCAAGAACTCTAGTCTGATTCTGTCACAGCTGGTTCTGCACCCTGAGCAAGGTCCTTTACCACACTGAGCCTCACTCTTCCAATCTGAAAAGTCCATGGCATCATTATTTAGCATTTCTTCTCTTTTCTTTTTTTTTTGAGCCAGGGTCTCACTGTCTCCCAGGCTGGAGTGCAGTGGCACAATCATAGCTCACTGCAGCCTCAAACTCCTGGCCTCAAGCGATCTTCCTGCCTCAGCCTCCCAGGTAGCTAGGACTATAGACATATGCCACCATGCCCAGCTTGCTTGCTTATCTAGGTATGTATATATATATGTATGTATGTATGTATGGAAGTATGTATGTATGTATGTAGAGACAAGGTCTCACTATGCTGCCCAGTCTAAACTCTTAGGCTCAAGCAATCCTCCCACCTCAGTCTCCCAAAGCACTGGGATTACAGGTGTGAGCCACTGCAGTTGGTGTTGGCCTAGCATTTCTAACACAGCCTCCACATATGATCTCAAAGATTTTTTTTGTTTGTTTTTTGTTTTTTTGTTTCTTTGTTTTTAAGACAGAGTCTCCCTCTGTCATCCAGGCTGGACTGCAATGATGCGATCATGACTCATTGTACCATTGACCTCCCAGGCTCAATTGATCTTCTTGCCTCAGCCTCTCAAGTAGCTGGGACCACAGGCACATGCCATCATGCCTGGTTTAGAGAGGCATGTTGCTCAGGCTGGTTTCGAACTCCTGAGACCAGGCAACCTGCCCGCCTCGGCCTCCCAGAGTGCTGGGATTACAGGCAAGAGCCACCATGCCAAGCCGATCTCAAAGATTCTTAACAGTACTACTTACTTTTTTTTTTTTTAAATTGTATCTACCCATGACAAAGCCCCCCAAAATGCACTGGACTCACCCCAGGTCACCACCACACCCTGATTATATACTTTTTCAAAATAAAAGATGCCTGCTTTGTTCAGATTCAGAAAGCTTAACCTGCATAACAACCTATTCTTACAACCCTCCCTTTTGCTGCATAAAACCTGTTACCAATGTGGCTACCACACTATAAATCACCTCCCTGTTCAAATCAGCTACTTGCATCATGACTACTGTTAACAATATCCTCTTAACGATCTTAACACCACTTGTGAACTTTTATAGAACAGCTCTGAAAATAGAGCTCTCAAGAGAGATGACTAAACAGGATATCAGCCTCTAATTGTCTCCACTCTCTGCCTTGACTTGTTTCAAGTCAAAAATACGTTATTTTTAAAAGCCACTCCCTCGTCTTCAATATAAAGGTCTGCCAGAGAATACATACACACACATACATTTGACCTCACAACATAAACTACTGCTGGCACAGGCACAGTTGCTGCCTGGCCGCCTCCGCCATCCTGCAGCCCACAGCCAGCCTGTAAACTCCCTTCAACTCTTCCCCGAGGGCCCACAAAGGCCTTTCCATCTCAAGATGGGTCAGGAGCTACTCTGACAGACAGCAGGAGATTCCACCAGTTAGAATCAGGAGTTCTCACAAGTAGAACAGGTTTCCTTCCGCATTTTTGACCCAAGCCACCCATTGTGGTGGAAAAGCCAGATTTAAACACGGTCTTCAAGTGTTGTCCACCTAGGGCAGATGTGGTAAGACACTGGACCTCAGAACAGGGTTTTACAAACTGCAGGTTGAAACTTTTTAAAGACACATGAAAGCAACTTAGTGGGTTGCTTTCATTAGGGAATTCTTTTTTTTTTTTTTTTTTTGAGACAAAGTCTCACTCTGTTGCCTAGGCTGGTGTGCAGTGGCATCATCTCAGCTCACTGCAACCTCTGCCTCCCGGGTTCAAGTGATTCTCCTGTCTCAGCTTCCCATGTAGCTGGAACTACAGGCATGTGCCACTACACCTGGCTAATTTTTGTAATTTTAGTACAGATGTGGTTTCGCTGTGCTGGCCAGGCTGGTCTCAAACTTCTGACCTCAAGTGATCTGTCCATCTCAGCCTCCCAAACTGCTGGGATTACAGGTGTGAGCCACCACACCCAGCCCACAACAGGGATTTTAAAGTAGAATAAAAACAGAACAGAAAATATGAACATGCTACAGGTAGTAAGGAAAAGTACTGCTTCATGCAACTTTTGTGTGTAGTTTTGTATACATATAAAAGGGTATACTGGATTTTAATGTAAAGATGTATTCCTTACTGTGTCACAGAGAAACATTTTGAAAAATGTGGCTTTAGAGGTTATTCGTTCCTTCTATACACTGCTGATGGGCTGTTACCATTTATTCATGGCGGATGCTTAGATACCTCCCAGTAGTAACCAACTCATTACCTTAACAGCTGGCCTATTCCATTCCTGTACATCATAGACAGATCTTTCTCTATGAATACAAATGCAGCAAGACCAATAATTTCCACTGATTTACCTTAGTTTCGCCCTCTACAGCTCCAGTGGACACTGTCTCTAGCTAGTACATCCATCCCAGTTTCTGGGAATAACACTTGAGCTTTATTTGAGAACTACCCCTCCCTCACATGTAGTCCAAATGGCTCATCTGGGATTCTGCCCCTAGCTCCAGAGTGGACATGTGACCAGGCCTAGCCGATCAGAGCACTGACTGAACTCTGCACAGCTGGCCTGGGGCAGGCACATTCCTTCTCTCTGGCTAGCAGTATAATTACAACTCCCTACCCGGTATCAGCATCTACTGGTTCAGGTTTGGGCACAAAAATCCAAGTAGGTCCAACTAGGAATCCTGGATCTACAAAGAAGGGACAAGATCTCGCTTCTGCTAAACTTCAATCTGGAAGGACACAAACTTGGGAGTGTCTGGCACCCGTGTTTGTCCCCCCACTGAGCTACAGAATGAAGCCAACAAAGAGGGGAGAGCTGAGGGACAGAAAGAGAACCGCTCTTCATAACATCATTTAAACCCTTAGATCAAGCCTTGCTTGATTCTTTGGGATTTTTTTGTTATTTGAGCCTACAAATTCCTTTTGTCTTAGCCAGTTTGAGTAGGGGTTTCTATCACTTGCACTCAAAAAACATATCTGAATTGTCAGCCAAAGAGAATAGGTCAAATATTTGACAACAATTATCACATCCCTCTATGCCTTCTAACATCCATGCTATCTCCTGCAGTCTGCCTCCCTGCCTCCCACCAGCACTGAAACAGCTCCAGCAACTTTTATGATGTCCTACTGTCAGATACAAAGATATGTCTGTCTTCATCTCAGTTGATCTCTCTGTCTTCCTCTTCATGAATCTCTCGTCCCTTACTTCCAGGACACGACCCTTTCCTGGCCCTCCTCTCACTCCTGAGCCCTGTATTTACCCAGCAGTCCACACCAGAAGCCCAGCTCCTCAGCAGGTACATGCAATCGCTCTCAGATCCCAACACGTCCACTCTCGAAGTCTCTCCTGGATCCACCCCCACTCCACTCCTACTGCCGTGGTTCATCTGGCCTCCCTGAATGGGCTTCTAGCTGCCTTCTATCTCCAGACTACTGTCCTCCAGCTGCTGCCAGTGATATGTTTCAAAAATTAAAATCTGACTCTGTGGCTTCCTAACTTAGAAACCGTCAATGTTTCCTCTCCTGTCCATGATGAGGTCCAAATTCT